TATGTGGCCGCCAATGGACTGTGCCCTTATCTACTTCACTTATCTCTGAATATTTTGTATGTTGCAAACAGGTCTCTACTTTATTTTTAAGCTTGTGAGGTCCAATTCCTCATATCTCTTAGTTCGTTCTTTAACCCTATAGCGTCGAGAGAAATGTTACAATCATGTAAAGACTCCGGATATAAAATGTAAGACAGCTTCAAGAATCTTAAAAAGTGTCCAAACTCATTGCGCTTGCATTGTGTATGTATAAATACATACACATACAATATATGTATCAGTACATACACGCGTGAACTCGACCATCGAAATTTTACTTCCGTATTCTTCAATGCCGCTCTCCAGGAGGATGACCTAGAGATAATGGGAGTTATAACCAGCCAGTGGGAAGAGGGCGGACGGAAGACTCATAATCAACAGTGTTTTCGAACAATGTCATCTTGTGTTTAGTGTTTATGGGTGTTTTCATGGAAGGTGAGGCAATGTAGAATCTCTCTCTCTCTCTCTCTCTCTCTCTCTCTCTCTCTCTCTCTCTCTCTCTCTCTCTCTCTCTCTCTCTCTCTCTCTCTCTCTCTCTCTCTCTCTCTCTCTCTCTCTCTCACCTAATCTCCTGCCTCTCTACTAGCTCTTGTCTCTTTTCCCCCCGTTTCTCCCCTCTTATCTCTTGGTGTGACACTGGATCCGAACCCTGGCTGGCTTATGACTCTCCTATGCTGCCCCTGATTCATCTTCGAAAGTTGAGTGTGGCTAGCCCTGAGCGTCTGGCTTTCAGCCTCGGACTGGCAGACAAGTAAACAAAAAACACAGAAATTATCTTTTATTGATATGGAGCAGATGGGATACCTGGCTGTACCTGAGTGTCTTTCCTTCCTCTCTTCTCTTTCTCTCTCTCTCTCTCTCTTCTCTCTTCCCCCTCTCTCTTCTCCCATCCTCTTAATCTTTCTCCTTCCTCTCCTTAAACATACCTTTTCTCCTTGAACATCAATTCTCTCCACCTCTCCTTCCCTTTCCACCCTCTCTTCTAATCTCACCCTGTCCACCTTTCTAAAACTCGTATTTCCTCCCCCCTGCCCTCTCCCTCTCTCAGCCTGGCATAAAATTTATTACAAAATGCGAAAAAAACGAGTAAAAATTGTACAGAAAACACATTCCCGATTTCAGACTTATCGCAGGGGTAGCTAGAGAGGCAGATATTTCTTAAAGTGTGGCATTGGAGGCGACCTCTACTGGCCTGTGACACTCCCATACTCCCCATGTATCATCTTGAAAAATTAGGTGAGGCTAACCCTAAGCCTCTGTTTTCCTTCTTCAGACAAAAAACATTCTATCATATTTTAGTGTACCAAATCACTGCAACGATATGCATCGTTAAAGTGTATCTACTGCATTATTTAACGCTGTATCTTTGTACTACAATGGAATTGTAAATGACCAAGTCAATATAACTGTGACGCGTGTTGCGTCGCCAGCACCATCTACCTCGAACACGCATCCCGGCGTCTGCGGCCTGTTTTAGGGCGCGCGGCCTTGGTGCGAAGCTCCCACCTTCCCACCCTCCTCCCTTGCACTCTCCCACGCACCCTCTTCACCACTACACACTCTCGGCAGCCTCTTACACACTCTCGGCAGCCTCTTACACACTCTCGGAAGCCTCTACACATTTTCGGAAGCCTCCACACATTCTAGGCAGCCTCTTATACACTCTCGGAAGCCTCTACACATTCCTCGGAAGCCTCCACACATTTTCGGAAGCCTCCACACATTCTAGGCAGCCTCTTATACACTCTCAGAAGCCTCTACACATTCTCGGAAGCCTCCACACACTCTTGGAATCCTCCCACACATACATGATAGCCTCCGGCATACACACACACTACCTCCACATTCCTTCAGCTCCCCCTTGTACCCCATCCCGACCACAAAACAAAAAATACCTTGTAGAACTAGATGCAGCGACGTCCCGAGAGCCAGGAGAGGTATTACCGTGGCTGCTGAAGGTGGCTTCAGGAATATGTTTGCCATCCGGTAAGTAAAGTTTGAAACTGGAAACTGGAAACCTCCCGGACATGCAGAAAACCACAAATGTAGTTCCTATATTAACGAACAGCCCTTCCTCCTAAAAGTTTCCCAACGTCAAGAAACTATTGGGTAAGAGTGCTCTTATCCTAACCTACCAGTGAATCTTATCCTAACCCAACACAGAAAACGGGATAGTATGTTAATTTCGCGAGCCGCTACTATTTTCTAGTAAGACGATTTTTGGCTTTAGGTAACGTCAAAATGCGACGCTCTATTAGGAGGACGGGTTGTAAGGAAAGAGAAGCGAGGTACAGAACTATGCCGACCAGTGTCACTAATATGCAGTCCTTGCAAAGAACTGAAGATTTAGGAAGAGGAAGATGAAGCACATCGAGAGGATAAACCTTGTAACGGAGAGGAACACTTTAGACGGAATTGTGTTTACAAACTGTGTCTGTGAGAGAACTTAAGAGAGATTTATGACATGGTCACCAAAATACGACCGGAGAAAGAAGCTTGGAAAGACTGCATTTTCCATAACTCAAAAGTTGGGATTACCGGGAAAAAAATGAAGGGGATGAGGTAGTACCTGAGGGGGATAAAACTGTTAGAATTGTGAAGATGGTGTCGAAGAACAGGAGGTGATTGGCAGGCCCCTTCCATCCCAAGGCTGTTCCTAATCTTTGTGAATTATTCACCAGAGGGAATGCACTCGGACATATCAATAGTTACAGCCGATGCCAAATTAGTAAGTACTGCCAACCCCAGGAACTACTGTAGGGTGCTACTGGAACACCTTGGCAAACGCTACGACTATGATGACCAATGAATGTTAGATTTAAACCCCGGAAAATGCAAGGTAATAATTATAGTCTTGGACGGGAAGAGTATAAATATACTTTAGACTTGTAACGAGGTTCCCTCTAGGTCGAACTACTGACCTTTCCCCAGTTTCTGCAACCGGAGAACACTTGCCAAGCTCCCGGATATCTATTTACTGCTAGGTGAAAATCGGCATCAGGTGAAAGAAAACGTGCCGAACCATTTCCAACCTGCTCGGGGGAATCGAACAATTGTAAGTCGAGATCGTGACCACTGTACTACCGCGACCCATGACGACGATAACAGAGATGTATAAGAGACTAGGAGGGACCTAGCCCTTTGGGAAGGCAAACTACACCTTTTCTTCTAGCTTGCATGATTACCGAATATGACTTCCGAATTCAGGCGCCGCTGGAGTTCCCCTTCTTCCAAGGTGGAGACCATTGTTGTTGTTTAAGATTCAGCTACTGGGAACAAAAACTTGCAAGTAGCACGGGCTATGGTGAGCCCGTAGTGGACTTACCTGGCACAGGAGCGGGGCTGAGGTGGTGAAGACCACACGGGGTGTGGCCTTCATTGCCCTGTGACCCCCCACTATCCCCCAAGTCTCCCCTCGCTGCCATAACACGGCCACGCATGAGGCTGTTCAGGTCACGGAACTGTCAATTGAGGCAGCACCAGCGAGAAAAGTTTGGTCCAGGTCTCCTTCCGCTCAACACGTCGCCTCAACGTCACTATAACGCTGCAAGAGCTTGATAACGTTTAAACAGACGCTGTGGTTACGGGTACGGGTGAGTGTGCCGGGCTAAAGTTAACATCGCGGCAGAGGGCGCTGGGAAACAGCATAGAGAAAAGAGGAGACAGACAGCAACGGAGATGAAGGAACATGTAACAATAAGATACTGAGAAGCGATGAGAAGACAATAAAAAGGAAAATGTGAGTGAATGTCTTTCCTGTCTTAACTCCCCCCCCCCCCCCACTCCAACCCCAACAGCATATGAGCAACGTTACGTACACACTTGTGAGCATTGACACTTTGTGCCATAAACTTGTGAGTATTGTACTGACACTGTGCCATAAACTCAACACGTCAGGTGGCACTTGTGTTACTTCATCTTGTGCCAATTACATCTCGTTGTTTAATTATTAGTTGCAATTTATTGTACGATTAGTCATTTCAATTAGCGCAATGCCACTCTTGTTTGAGTCCACACTGATGGGACAAGTTTCGTTTACATTTCTCTATAGAGAAATTTGAGCTTTTCGCTCGAAAAAATCGAAATAGAATTCGTTGGTGGAAGAAAAAGCAATTTATGTTACTCCCATTTGAGTTAAACGAGCCAATTAGACAATCAAATAGGTGTGAAACAAGCGTCAGCCATAATAAATCAGAATATTGCTATTATGTACCGTGGAACTTAATTGTCTTTTCTTACTCGATTTCAAAGCCGCTTCACAGTCATATTAAAGCCTATGATAACAGAATGTGAGCACAAATTAACAAAATGAATTTGTAATAATAATAATAATAACAAAATTTGTAATAATAATAATAATGTAATTTTATCACAATACAACATACATTATAAAATAGTTAAGCTGATAAGTAATGCAGAAACATCGACAATAACAATGATAATATTAACAATAAGCAATCATAAAGCTGACTTACGATATCGGCCGTGAGGGTGGAATTGACTGGTGGCGCATGAGTCAGCTGAGCATGATGCAAGAGCTCCTCCTCCCTCACAAAACCCCCAACACATCCTCCCTCCCTCCGCACCCTGTCTCTTCCTTCTTCAACCCTCCCCAACTACACCCCTTCAACCGGTCTGGCATCGCGCCCCCTCTCACTCCCACCCCCACACACGGGACCATCTCCCCTGTAACTCCCACACGCTTTTCTCACTCTCTTTTCAACTCCTCTCTCTCTCCATTCCTCATTTTCTCTCTCTCTTCCACCTCTGACTCCCTCTACTTCTCCCTCACACCTTAATCACTCTCCCTCACTGTCTCCCACAGCTTCATCACCCTCTCTCCCTCCCCCCCACCCAATCTTCATTCTTTCCTCTATCCCTCCCATTCTTCTCCCTCTCTCCCTCTCTCCGTCTCTCACCCCCACCCTCCCGGGCCAGGAGTTGTCCTGACACATATATACGAGAGTCGCCACCTCGCCCGCTCATTCTCCCGGGATAGAGTGCCAAGCGAGGACCTACTTTTCTAAACTGACTGCTGCAGCAGCTTCCGCTGAAAAACAAGTGCTGAACAAAACTGATTTAGTGTTGCTTTCATTGAGTTATATTAGTGAAGTTACAGTGACTTGCGGTTGTGGTGGTTTTAACCAGTATTGTGTACTGAATATTATCGTCGCGTAAATAAGATAAAACAAAAACTAGATAGCAGACGGCTACGTGCCGGTCCATATTTACAACCTCGATACGGATATGAGATAGTGGGAAGCGGGTGGTAATTGTGATCGTGCAATGTTACAGGCGATGAGTAAGTAGAGGCCTTGACTCATTCATAGAGAAGAGGAGCAGGAGGAGGCGCGGGGCCTAGCAAGGTGAACGAAGTTTGTCTTAAAGAGGTTTAACAGAGCAAGCCAGTGACAGCCACCACCGAACGAGTTCGTCGTTGCCGTTACACAACGTAACCAGATCCCAGCCAGGAAAGGGTTTAACATACGGAAAATAGCAAAAATTTCCGATACTGACATAGCGTAAACACAATATTGCCATCACCGCGAAAAGTAGGTTTGTATTATGATAGAAACCTCACCCGAGAACAATTGAAATCTGGCCAAAGGCCAGTAACAGACCATTCATACGCCTCTTTAAACAGCAAATTATAAATAAAAGAGAAACATTTTAGCACAGAGAAACAAAGTATAAATCGTGCACAAGAAACCCTGAGCAACGAGCCTAGCAAATATCAATATCAGAGTGACGTCTTGAACCACGAATGTACAGAAAAAATTGTGAACAAGTCTAGGTAACAGTATAAATAGTTTTTAAGAGCGGCTATTTGATTCCAGAAATTTTACACGGGAAATAAAGTCTAGAAACCTAAAAGTGAAATAATCAAAGAGAAACTCCTTTAAAGAATATCAGGATATTTCTAGCGGAGTTCCCCCTCACAACGCTCAAGGCCAGAAATTCTGCAGGTAAAGAGCCTTGCAGGAGTTTTCTTCCATGATGTCAACAGACAAGTATCCTGGCATGAGTTGTCCCTGCCCTGGTAGCGATGTGGACGCCTGGATATCCCAGCTCAAGAAGAAGCAGGCGTTGGATTATCACCAGTTGGAGAGCCTGTGTTCCAAGGTACGGTTATTATTCCACTCAATGCTTAGTGAATCCTGGTATGCTTACACGCCCAACCCCCTTAGTGTTGCAATGCACGTACAGGATCGTGCGCATAGACCTAAAGTTGAGTGTGTTCTCATCAACTTCCTTGGAGGGTGAGCTGCTGTTTTGGGGTTCCTCTTTACCACTTTGCTGATGCCTAATTATCCTAATGTAAGCCTAATCTCGTAGGCTTATCCATCAGGTTTAATGTTAACCTAACCTCGTGTATGATGTATGAACTTCACCCTATGTATGAAGCAACTTGTGTGATGCAAATCTAACCCCCATTTTCAATGTAAACCTAGCCCATTAGAGTTAGTAACATTTGCACCTGTATCCGTTTATGGGGTTTGTCTTCCCTACATCACTTCCTGTTGCGTAATGTTCACCCCTGACCGTCACAAGGAATATTTCCCTTATATCCTTTTATGGCTTGTGTATCCATTTTCCATTTGTTCCTTGGGTGTGACCCCACCCTCCTGCTGTCTGTGTCCCCCCTTAATTGTCAGTAATCCTGAGAATTTGTATCTCGTGGTCATGTCTCATCTGAGTTCTCTCCTTAAAGTTAATATTAAATGCTTGTAGTCGGCGCAGTTTATAACTGAAAGGTCTCTGGTTCAGTTCCGTTTTGGCACGTTTTCTCTCATCTGATGCCTCTATTCACCTAACAGTGACAGGTACCCGGGAGTTATGTTGTGGGGCTGCATGCTGGGGAGGGTCAGTATATCATGGTCAGGGGAGGTGGGTGGAGCCTTTCGTCATACAGGAACCATATTTTACTTAGCGAAGGTTTCATATGCTTCAAGTTCTCCATCGCTGGTCTAAGTAGAACTTTCACCTGCCTCTGTTCACTTGTCAGTAAAATAGGTACCCGAGAATTAAGCAACTATTGTGGTTAGCCTCCTCGGGAAGGTCAGTAGGTGGCCTTGCGGGACCTTGATGATGCTAACAGGCTTCCCGTTTCCGACAATGACAAACCAATTTAGTTGTCTAGCAGTTTTAACAGCACGATTTTACATATATTTCACTTTGAATGTGTCATTCGAACAATTGTTTCTTAAAAAAAAAATCGGAATTAGTTTTTTCTTCCATAACTGATAACTTAATAAATATTAAATATTTATTGAAATATAACTTAATTAAACTTATTAAATATTATTGAAAAACTTATTGTTTTCTTTAAATATTTATTGAAACATGAAGAGTTAGAGACATGTATGGTATTTAACTGCAGATTTGGTTAAGTGTTGGGCCTATCAGCCTCTGTAGGGTTATCTACTCCATGCCACGTATCTTCTGACCGACCAGCAAGCATACTTTTGCCATGAACATTGTCCAGGACTAAATTAAGCTCAAGTGTACATACACCGAGAAATTGGGCACACCTTTTTATGAAGATAATTTTGGTGTTTGGCTTAAAGGTCTCTGTCACCTCCACTCCCTCCATCCATCCCCATTAACAGCTTTGGCATCATTCAGGAACCTCTACAGGGTCGTAAAGGCCCCAAAATAGCTTACTGACCACCAAACACGTATATTTTAGCCCAGAACATAGAAGACTAAATGAAACTTTATACATGCGGAGAAGTAGAGCTTACTTTGTTGATGGGATTAAAGCCTATCTTAACCTCTGGAGGGTAATTAATGTTGTGATACTGGCTTACCAACAATTCAACAAAACAGTGTACTTTAGTATACATAATTTTCTGTTTAGTATACATAGTTATTTATAAAGTTCAATTGTTGTTTGTTTTCTTTAATAGCGTGTAGAGGTTGCGTGAATTTATCCTCGGTTTCTGCTTCATAAGCGGCCCCGGGATGTCTAGCCTCCAGTTTCAGAGGGAAATATATTTGTATTTACCACAAGTGTTTGTCGGCAATTTATCTAAAAGTTTTATTTACTCGAAATTTTCAGTTATCTTTGGCATTTACCGTTGTATTCTTTGTTCTTTGCTGTGTTTCTTTTTGTTTTAACTATTATTCCTATTATTTTATTTGTTATTTTTAGTATTTTATCCTTTATTGGGATCAATTATCTTTCGTTGTAATTTACTCTTTATAGGTTAGGCGTAGATAAATATATACCGATAAGTGTACCCAACTTCCCACTGAGTTTACTGTAAACTCTAGAGTATGTTCAGGGACAAAGTATACTTACTGGTTGGTCAATAAGGTATTAGGTTGATAGCTTCTTATCCAAACACCAAAGCTTTTTTTGGGCTGCAATTAACAACCAACCTGAGTTACTCTTTCATTGTGATTGTAAACAGTTCTTTTTGAAGATTTTCCTAGTACATTTTATGTTTTTTCTTTATTGACTTTCCTAAAATTTTCTTAGTAATTTACCAGAAGTAGCTCCATCGATTTACCAGAGTTTACCCCTCTACTAGAACATTTGAATTGACTACATTACCCATTTTCTTTCATTTGATTTAATTTGTTGAGAAGTATTGAACATTTCATAGAATTTTACTAACCCTATATGATATACTTGCCTGGTTAATTTAAGCGTAAATCATTATTTTATTTGTTAACCTGCATTAGCTTACATAACACCGTTGGCCTACATCAAACTTACAATTAATCGCAGTTTTCCTCAATAATTAATCTGTTTCTTGACAGGTGAAGGAGGTGTTGACGGAAGAGAACAATGTGGTGGAGGTGTCGTCGCCAGTGACGGTGTGTGGGGACCTCCATGGCCAGTTCTACGACCTCATGGAGCTCTTCACAATCGTAGGCGAGCCTCCGGAGACCAACTACCTCTTTATGGGTGACTACGTAGACCGGGGCTACTATTCAGTCCAGGTGGTGTCACTCCTGCTGGCAATGAAGGTGAGGTGGGAGTTGACTTCATTATCGATGTTACATAGCTTTTTGTTGAGCCTCACCCAACGTGAGGCTCACGCCTACATAGAAGCCTAATCATCTGAAGTTACAAAATTCCAATTTATGATTCTGTTTTTTACTACGCTATAGCCTCATGCTGAGATTGGTGTTGATATATGTGTTTGTCGCTGGGATATATATGTATATACCTCGCGTGATAACTTCCTGTAAAGCTCTTGTTGGTAAACGTCTTTTTTTATTTATCTCCCTGCAGCTCCGGTATCCGCAGCGAGTAACGCTGCTTCGGGGTAACCATGAATGTCGGCTCACTACACAGGTCTACGGGTTTTACGACGAGTGCTACGCCACCTACCAGAGCTGCGACGCCTGGAAATGTTTCATGTCGGTGTTTGACTGTCTGCCCCTCACCGCCCTTGTCGATAACGTGATCCTGTGCATGCACGGCGGACTCTCGCCCTCCCTCGACTCTATTGACCAGATTCGCGTCCTGGATAGGTTCCAAGAACTGCCTCATGAGGGTGCCATGAGCGACCTCTTGTGGTCAGATCCTGACGACTCCGGGTGGAGGGTTGGTTGGAGAGACAACGCCAGGGGCGCCGGGTACATGTGGGGCTCCGACATCTCCCACGACTTCACGTACAGTAAGTATTTTATAGTTCGGTGTTCTATATGAGTATTATCAAACTCACTAGGGCTATTAAGGCTGCCATAGCAGCTTACTGACCAGCCAACGAGTATACTTTTGTACTGAAAATAGTCCAGGAGTCAAGTGTATATTCACTGATAAACGGGTTACACTTCTCGGTATATCTGACACTCGTCGCAAGTGTTCTGACCGACAGTTCCGTTATCTCGCCACAAGCAACATGGTCTTCTACATACAGGAAGTACTAATGCATGACAGGTATATATTACCTTCCTGCCTAGCGTATCTTTATATTAATGATTAATTAAATGTACACAGCTTTCCAGAAGTTACATATACACCATGTAGTAACTTAAATCACACACATATATAATCACATATAATTTGGTTGACTTACTTTTACCACAGATATCGCCACATTTTCTTACATAAACAGACTAGACTGGTGATAAGAGCGTTAATAAAAAAACCAAATTATAAACAGACAACATAAATCACTATTTACAACACCCACCAAACGCGTCTTTCAAGTAAAAACCATTTGCATCTCATTACCTCGTTGTAAAGACCACCTCCGAACGTCGCATTGATAGTTTGTCCTTCAGGGCGCCAGGGACAACATGGGTACCATTGTGTCGGGATATAGGTCACCAGGCCAGCCACTAACACGCCAACCTCACACACCCCCCTCGTCACTATATTTGCATACACATGTAGTCTACATGCAATATAGGTTTTTCATTTATTAAAAAAAGAAAAGTATTATGTATTTGCTTTATAGTTATTGCAAATTCTTTCAAATTTGAAGTAATCTCATATGCCTGAAACGCTTTGCTTGTTGTTGTTTAAGATTCAGCTACTCGGAACATAAAGTTCCAAGTAGCACGGGCTATGGTGAGCCCGTCGTGGACTAGCAAGCCTAGTGTAATAGTGACTTTATTAGTATGTTTAACTCCTGTCCCTCCATTGTACACTACTTTTATGTTCTTTGTACACACATTCCTCAGAATTATTATTATTATTATTATTATTATCACTGAATTAAATTTACATTTCATTATTTACTGCTATTTAATTCCACTTATAATTTTTAATTATATATTTTTTATGATATCAATATATTATGTAGTAATCTTGATATTTAGTTTGTTAGTAATTTAGGATTTTATTCACGTTTTCATGAAATAAAAGAAAACTAGTTTGTCCTTTGTTTTCCTTTCAATTTTCTTTGCCAAACTTGCAAAAGTATTTTATGCAATTTGACAAGATTTTGCCAGAAAAGACTTAAGGTATTTTAAGGTATCTAAGATCACTCTCACACTTGTTATGTCGAAGAACAAATCCACAAGGGCCGTGACGAGGATTCGAACCTAGGTCCGAGATCGTTATGTCTATGTCTCACCACTAACACCTGTCCTAGCCTCATAATACCTGTCCTAGCCTCACAACACCTATCCCAGCCTCTCAACACCTATCCCAGCCTCTCAACACCTATCCCAGCCTCTCAACACCTATCCCAGCCTTATAAAACCTATCCCCCTATCACCTGTCTCAATCCCCCAACACATGTCTCAACTCCTAACATCTGTTCCATCCCCCCCCCACACCTGGCTTACCCTCTAAGACCAGTCCCCCTAACACCTCTCCAAGCCCCTCCCAACACCTGCCCCAGCCTTTCTAATACCTGGATCACCCCTAATGCTTGTCCCAGACCCTACGAACAGCTCTTCCAGATCCCAACAACTGTCCTAGCTTCTTAACACCTCTCACAACTCCCCCTGACACATTTCACAGCCTCCTGAAACAACTTGTAACCTCCTTTAATACCTGTCCCAGCCCACCAACACCCGTCTCAGCCTCACAAACACCTGTCCACACCTCCTAACACCCGTCCCAAGTTCCCCTAACACCTGTCCTAGTGCCCTTAATATATGTTCCAGCCTCCTGAATACCCCCAGCTACCTAACACCTCTTCCAGCTTCCTAACACACATGTTCCTGTCCCCAGCATCTGTCCCGGCCCCTAACACCTATCCCAGAAGCCTAACCCCTGTCTCAGTGCTCCTAACACCCGTTCCGTCCACATAACATCTGTCCCAGCCTTATTCAGCCCCACCCCTCCTAACATCTTTACGGGCTATTCATGCCCGTGCCACCTCTTGAGTACCTTACTCTTCACCAGTCACTCATCCTAATTTCTGTTGCGTTTTGCAGGTAACAACTTGGCATTCGTCTCGCGGGCGCACCAGGTTCAGGACGCGGGGTACAATTGGTACCACGATGGTAAGGTCATTACCATATTCTCCGCCCCAAACTACTGCTATCGCGTCGGGAACCTCGCCGGGTACATGACAGTGGAGGAGGGCACTCATACTTGGTGAGTATATACGCTCATACTTTGTGAGTGTACGGTCATACTTTTGTGTGGTATACACCTCCATACCTGGAGAGTATATGGCGGCCATACAGTAGGAGGAGTAGGTTGGGTACAAAGAGCTAGACCTCACTGCCTTGTAAGCACTATGATAGGTAAGCACCCTACACCTGGTGAGTATGGCACCCACACCTGGTGAGTATGGCACTCACACCTGGTGAGTATGGCACCCACACCTGGTGAGTATGGCACCCACACCTGGTGAGTATGGCACCCACACCTGGTGAGTATGGCACCCACACCTGGTGAGTATGGCACCCACACCTGGTGAGTATGGCACCCACACCTGGTGAGTATGGCACCCACACTTGGTGAGTACAGAGCCACACGTGGTGAATATGGCAGTCGAGCTGTATACGCAGTTGCCAGGACTGCAACGTGCGTAATAGGCTGACCTTGACGCCGTGGTAGGCGGGAAAAACGTGATGGAAACTGTCCAACCTGTCTCCTCCTAGCCAACCCGTCCTCCTACAAAGAACGTCGCTTTTCCCCCGCATGCATTACCTAAGGCCAGAAATTTTCGTATCAGAAATTGGAAGTGGCTGGCGAAAGTGACGTACTGTCCCGTTTTCTGTTTTGGGTCCTCTGGTAGGTTAGGAGAGACCACTTTAAATTGACCGTTTTATTGATGTTGGGAAACTTTGGGAGGACGGGATGGACGATGATCAAATGAAAGGAACTAATTTTCGCATCTGAATCACATTGACTTTAAATCACAATAGACTTGGTGAATTATCTCTGCCTCGATGTTAAGTGCCACTTAACGGCAATATTTTTGCCAAAAATTTAAGATTCACGTATTTCATTAAAACGGAAGCAATTCAATATACTTAGACTAAGCACACGGATTGTTTATTTGTTTCAAGGAAATAAGAGAAATTTGTCCTAGAATGTGTGTGTAAATATTGATCTTATTCAAAGCTTAGTAAAGGTGTCATACCTGGTATATTATGGAAGCCTCCATCTTTGTCTAAATAATTAAATATGATAAATTATATGCATGTACCTTATAATAATTATGTGTAATAATTTTGATATTTTGTTTATTTTCAGCTACACATTCGAAGCGGCGCCTAGAGATGAATCCGAAACGCTTTCCAAGAATTATACAACATATTTCTGCTAGCATCTTCTCCCTCCTTTATAGTATCCACATCAAAAGACAGCATTTAAAATCATATATTACTTCATACACAAGAGAGAGGAATCGCGGGTCGATTCCAAAACTTGTGCCGTTCGGAAACCGCCATATTATGGCTCCAGCTGTGAGTCAAGGAACCTTGATATAAACAGTTGAAAACCGTTGTTTGTAATAAAATGTTCGGATGGGTAATCAGTGAACATACGCTTGTAAGGTTGAGAATGACGACGGACGAGGAATTGTGTGTATGGAAACGTTCCATTGGATGAATACTAAGTCAGCCTCAGGAGTGAGCTCATCCGTGAACTGCTTCGAACAGACCTGCCAGCAGCGACGTCCTTCGCCACCATATCTCTTCCCAGGACGAAGTAGAAAAAAAACCACGATACCAAATCTTCCTATACCTCTACCAAAGTTTCTTTCATTCCTAGTCCAGAGAGCTTAGGTACCACTGTAATCCAGAAATATCTTAAAACGTTTAGCCGCACCACATTCGCCAGTGTGCCTTTAAAAGGAACTTATCAAATCTATTCACACGAAAAAAATATATAATAATTTGAGCATTTCTGTAATAAATACGTAATGTACATCCCTGGCATCTCCCCCCAGTCTAAATGCTTGCATGTATTCCACTGAAGGACATATATTTTTAAATAAAAATATTAGACGAAGCAGCGAACGAGAGCTTACGAGACGTACTGTGATATTATCAAGTGCCAGTATATACGAGTATGTAAAACCTATAGATACAAACCAGTAAATCCTTTATATAATTATTGATTTTGCCTTACTGTGGAACTATCTAGCAATGAACGTACCTGTTATTTCTAATTTTTTATATTTATGTGTTTGCTTATATATATATATATATATATATATATATATATATATATATATATATATATATATATATAAGGGGATATCACCTATGGTTGTTTGTAGGGACCCTCAAGCCTCGTAGAAGAGGATATTCAGCACTCGGGGAGCTTTGTCTGACTCCCATGTGCGCTGGTACATATTGTCTTCTACCACTATAATATTATATACATATACATATTATATATATGTGTGTATATCACGAAAATAAACACGTGATTAAAAATGTGACAATGTCAGACCACGGAGGAAAAATGAAACAGGAATTTCTTGAAAACAGGAACAACAGGAATGAAACAGTTGAAATTGTTTCAGGAATTAAACAGGATGAAACAGTTGAAACAGGAATGAATGCCTGTTTCATTTTTCCTACGTGGTCTGACATTGTCATATATATATATATATATATATATATATATATATATATATATATATATATATATATATATATATATATATATATATATATATATATATATATGCCATTTGCTATGTATCTCGTCTCTTAATGTGTGTAAACATCGGAGTCTTCATCTTGTATGCTTCCGATTTTCCGATTTGTTTGTACTGAATTAAACCACTGTGATATATGTACCAATGGGAGATCAACCTGCCACACAGACTCCTTGTCTTGTAATACACGACTCGCACCAACATGGGTCAGCAGCCCGTCCTCATAAACACTGGCCCAATGCCCGTTAATTAAACCGGCAGCTAAACCCCCCTTGTTTACGAATGAATGAGTTCACATACGACTCTACCCATAAACGTTCAAATCTCGCCCTTACGAAAGGCTTCACCCACTTAATATAAACACAAATAACTGCCAACAGCATCAAAATACTTAACTTATCCAATCCTATGTCTAACTGTATACACAGTTTTATATTAATACTAATTTGCATATGAGAAAACATACTTTTTGGTTACACAGTACTTAAAATTTTACGAATGCGTCTTTGGGGTCGGCCGCAGAATGGACCTAGATATCCCGAGGACGGTGTGATAATTCTTTGACATTGATGCTTACATAGATGTGACAGAGAACGACTCCTAGACAGACGTGACAGAGAACATGACGCAAATTATTTGACGCAGAAGTCTCCACATTCGTTCCCACAGCGCTACATTATTGTATTTTGCGTTCTAATAAACATATTTATTGAGATTGATGTACTCCTTTATCCCGGTGGTGGCGAGTATTGTATTGATGGTGGTGGTGAGTATTGTATTGATGGTGGTGGTGAGTATTAGTAGCTATGGTGATGATGGTGTGGCTACTGTCTTGATAGCAATGACGGTGAATTGCTTTTGTTAAATGGAAGCTGGAACTGCATTTGTTCTGTCAATTTTCATGAAGTGTGGGAATACTTAATATATATCAATACTATTCTGAGCTTTTAACTATCATTTACAAGACTTGTTGAAGTAACTATATTTTAGCAACCAACATGTTGCCAAAACGCGTTCCCTATTTTGTTATTTTTTGGATGATTCGAGTGTAAAACACAGATGTACTTGGCCAGGAAATATCCGTTTGATTAAATGTGAATTGTTTGGTAGCTTTTCCTTCAGTTCCGAGTGTTTTCATGTACACAACTGAGTTATGTGTATTTAATCCGCTTCTCTCTAAGAGTCCAAAGTTGCTTGAACGTCATAGCGAGGATGTAATCAATCGAAGAAAGCGCTAACCGTGATAGGCTCTTATAAAAAAAAAATAACACATTACATAGCCTAGTGTTCCATAGTGGATACGTGACTCCCAGCACACTTGCTAATTTCTTAAGTATCTCTTAGCAGTATCTCTTACGAGTCAAGTAAAGGACAGGTTTTCAACCTGCTCTACATACACTTATCTCTGAATTATATCTCACAATTTTCTTGTCTACCGTTTTGATAGGAGAGAATATTTGCTCTGTGAGATAGCCACCATTTATGTTGTCTCCAAGATAAAATAGTTTTAAGGGATAACACAAGGGTCCTGTAGTATAGTGGCTTATTTCTCGACTTATAATAGCGGGATCCCTGGTTCGATTCCCGGGGACAGAAATTTATGGATAACCTAATTCTTCTGTTCTCCTAGCAGTAAATAGGTACCCAGGAGTTAAGCAACTGTTATTGTTACATCATGCAGTAACCCAAATATCAGACAGAAGGCGCTTCTGTTATCTCTAAAACCAAATTATTTGTTACCTAGTTGACAGATAATACTTACCAAGATAGTTTTCGAGTTTCTCAACAAGGATTTCGTCAAAGATCTTATCGAATACTCTTTATATTGGTCCATAGTACTCTGCTGATGTCCTTCTTTAATATTTTGTTTTGACAGCTATAATCCTGGCAGTCTTCCAAATAAGTGGCCAAGTTTGCTGATAATTGTAGCCTACGGAGGACAATTGCAGTAGGGTTTGCTGGTACAATCACTCTTCCTCTTAGGAAGTAAGGGCTTACATAGTCTACTCCCGAGGCTTTGTTGACATCTGTCTCGAGCAGAAAGCTGTCTAGTTTTTTTTATAATATTACACGTAGAAAAAATACAAATTGGTAAAGCTAGGCAACACCTCGGGAAGGATGACTCCTTAACTTGCAGTTTGCATGTAGAGTCAGTAGCAAGAAGTTCGAGCTCCACAAGCCTAGTGACTAAATACTCACTAGTCTTGCGAGTCTCCAGGTTTTGCTGTTCATTTCTTATGCTCCACCAAGCTTTGCTGCCCAACGATCCTCCTGATATTTTGTTTACAAAGTCCTCGAGGTACCTAGAACGGCCCGTTTTTGAACGTCTCGTGGTTTCTCCAGCTGCCATAGAACACTTATGGTTTGTTTTGGTGTGTCTTTCTTGGAGGGTTTTCCGGGCTCTTGACGACTCGTCGGCCACAGTTCTACACTGGTACCCACACCAGGTTTCGTCATCCGATCTATATTTGTAGACTTGGAAATATGGCACAGCATACAGCATTGTATTGAGTCGTTGATGAACGCACAAAACAACAGTAAAAATTAAAAGTATCTGTTCTATTCTGTTATTTTTAATGGATACAGTACGACAGATGGTATATCCGTCTATTTAACAATATTTAACTTAAGTATTTGTTTTTATATTTAACATATAACTATTTATATGTCAACAGAACAATGAAAATATATCCTGAAGCAGCGAGTATACGCCAAGCTGACGTGCTGCAGGACACTGGATCACAACGCATCATGCATGGAGGGGAAAGGGCAGTTAGTATCATTATTAACACAAAAATCGCCCTACAATTATTCCCTAAATGCCTTGTTTCACGCAATGTACGTTAATGTAAAGCATCAAATATTTTATAGATTTTATTCATTTTCTACAATTAAGCTTGATTGTTCTTTCATAACAGATTCTTGTATCTATAACAAGGCCACAATAATCGTCATTCTTTCAGTGTCGCGTGATAAACAAATCATGGCTGTTATCTTATATCAGGACCAAGATAAGCGGGGGGAATGTTGCTTCATTCTATTGAAAAATACCGCAGGCTCTGAGCTGTTACAAGTGATATCAGCTAAACACCTGTGCGGATATGCAGTCTAAAGCTAATCTTCATAGACACATAATCCCTGATATATGAACATAAAGGAAGTGACAACGTTTAAGTCCGTCCTGGACCATTGGCAAGTCCGAACCGAAATGTCGTCGCTTCTTATATTTTCAGATGTGTTGGCTATGTGCATGTGTACTTTTCACCCTATTTATCGTGACTTACCGTCTCCTAATCGTCGTTTGTAAAGGTTGTTTGATAATTTATTGGAAGAAATGTAGGTTAATGGTCTGTTGTATTATCAGTGATTAGTCCCGATGGTCATATGTTTCTCTAAATGAAGCCAAGGTGTTTTGGCCTTAAAGCCTATCAACCTTTCGAGCAGTGATTGCAAATCATTTTTATTTGGAGGAATCCTATAAATATTTGGTAAAATCTGGAGGCACGGTACTTGGCTGACTTAGGCTCATCACGGGTAAATTACAAACTAGACGTGCAAATCAGTAGAGCCAATAAATAATTAATTCATACTCTTGAATAAAATATTACAAGAGTATTGATTATTTCTGTTTACTAATTACTTTTACTATAAAAAAGCTAACATTTTAGCTTTGCATCTGACTTACGGGTTACACACATTGTGTATATATTTTGTAATGATTGTGTAATATAATAGTTTTTTTATAATTGGTAGCAAGGTTCCACCCCCCCAAGGTCGAACTACTGACCATTCAATAGGATGCAACCCCACAACAGTTGCCTAACTCCTGGGTACTTATTTTCTGTTTGGTTTAGAGGCAATTTGGCGAAAGGAAACGTGCCCAATCACTTCTGTCCTGGCCGTGAATGGAACCCGGGATCCCCCTGATTGAGAGTCGAGAATACATGCAACAAATTAAACGCCGTGATAACTATTCTGATTATTGTACAGAATTTCAATTTATTAAACATGTTTACATTACGAAGTCGCGTGACGCAAAGATGTGTCGCAAGCAAGAGATTCCGGGTTTGATCCCTTGGAATTTGAGACCAAAAACTTTCGACCAGCGTTTAGTTTCAACTGCACGATGCTTCTGTTCACCTAACATTGAGCAGGTAACCCAGGCGTCAGCCAGCTGTTGTGGGTTGCATCCAGAGGGGAAAGGTCAGCAGTCAGCCTACGACCTACGACATAGGGGAGGAGAAGAGGACTTCGACAAGTTCTTCATCCTATGTGGATCCATATTAAGCTAGACATATTATAAAACTTGGAATATAGTATTGAAATTGTGCATCATGGCGATGTGCTCTTATGTGCTTTTATGATGATGTTGATTAAATAACAAGAATGTTAGTTGATTGTTTGATGTATGCCACAGCATTATGCTAGATTTTCAAACATGATATTTAACATATTGAGACTAGGAAGTTTTTCGTGGAATAATGGCAGAACCTGTTACAGACGCCTGTGCTTTTTCTTCTGCTTTCATCACTAAAAATAGCGTCCATCATGTAAATACCATATTAAATGTTAACGTAAACCAAAATGTTTTAGTTACCCATAAGAAAAAAATAAGTTCTTGGTTTTCTTTAGTTTATTTTAATAGAAAACCGTCCTTTAGTGACGCAACTCTTTTTTAACGACAACTGCTATATAATTTCAATTTCTCGAGGACACGAAACTTGTGTTCATATATATCTGTTGGGCATATATCAAGGTAGTTTTCCAAGGTCGAACTACTGACCCTTCCCAGGATGCAACCGCACAACAGTTGACTAACTGCCGCATACCTATTTAGTGCTAGGTGAACAGGGTCATTAGGTGAAAGGAAACGTGCCCAACCGTTCTGTCCAAGTCTGGATTCGAACCCGAAATTCCCGGTTGTGAGTCGAGAACGAACCCAACTGTACTACAGCAACTAAAACAACAACTAATGTAACATTCCCCAAAATATCCAGAACGGCAAAAAATAACTAAAAATCAAAAGAAATACAATGAACATATATATATATATATATATATATATATATATATATATATATATATATATATATATATATATATTCAACCTGCATAACGTGTGAGAATTTTTGCAACTGCACACGCAAGAACAGTATGTGTTGCATTGTTGTGCCGTCAGTTAGTGTGGTGGTCGTGCAAACACGGCTTCTGTGTCGCTGCTCAAAAGGTAAACAAAACAGTATATACGCTGATGAATCTAAACTGTTTAATACAATTGTTTTTTCTTTTTAGGCTTCCTTTGAAGCCGTCACTTGTCGACCGGCCGCCAGGGAGAGAGACCGGGGAAGTTGGGGAGCGAAGCTGGCTGCCTTGAGGTGTATAGTCAATTCATCTTCAGTGAAAAATAACTCCGTCTGCATTTAAAAATGACTTCATTTTCGGTGAAAATGACTTCATTTTCGCACGCGTCCGCACGGGGATTCTAGGGTGTTGCCGACGGTGATGAACCAGACGTCACTGATGTGTTTAGGATGATGTATCAAATGAACAAATCCACAAGGGCGGTGACGAGGGTTCGAACCTACGTCCGAGAGGATCCCAGACGCTGCCTTAATCGACTGAACTACGACATGGTGAAATAATTACAATGAGTGTAATGAAGATGATGATGTCCCCCCCGGCCTAACAAACACAGACGAGGGCACATGTTTGTGT